TCGATTTTTTTTTCTTCAAAAATGTCTTTTTTCAAAAATTAATAACGTTTGTTAACGCACAGTGGGCAAAAATTGACAAAACCGCGACTAAATTGAATATCTCGGCTGCCAAATGGTTTCATGTTAACATGTTATACATATTCTCAAAGGAAAAACTCTGCTGAATCGATTGGTGGTGGTTTCATTTGCCGGAGGCTTTTGCGTACCGAGATAGAGGGCCGGGATCAACTCGAGTTCCCGGTAAAGTAGGAAATTCCACTATCTATCGACATAATTTTACACTTTACTTAACGTATATTACTGGAAATTGATAGTACTAAGTATATATGGTGTAAATACACCATATACGCCCTTAGAGAAACTCTACTGGCCTAAAGGAGGATCCGGAACGACCGATAAAGTGGCCACATTAAAAAAAATATCCTAGAACCTTGCGATTTTTGCTATGTTGTTCAGAATCAAGAAATCAAAGCGTTTTTGATATGGAAACTATATTTTGGGGTATAGTGGCCATATTCTGGTTTTCCGGATAAGCAGGATTTACCGATTGCGATTTTTTCTATGTTGTTAAGAATCATGAGATGAAAGCGTGTTTCATATGGAAACTATATTTTGGGGTATAGTGGCCATATTCTGGTTCTCCGGATAAGCTGGATTTACCGATAAAGTGGGCCACATTATAAAAATTGTCCTAGAACCTTGCGATTTTTTCTATGTTGTTCAGAATCAAGAGATCAAAACGTATTTATTATGGAAACTATATTTTGGGGTCTAGTGGCCATATTCTGGTTCTCCGGATAATCTGGAACGACTGATAAATTGGCCACATTATAAAAATTGTCCTATTGATATGCATCAATGGAGACGCATGGTAGTCTAGTCGCATAGGAGTATTGAGCGAACACCCAAAACCCTGTGGTTGAAAGTTATGAATTTTTGAAATTCTAATAAACACTATATCGGTTTGCTATGGAATGGCTGTATTAATGTAGTTTTTAACAGTTAATTAACTTTTATTTCAAGTGGTCATACCCACTATACTAAACATTCGTTGATCAGCAAGTTTTTGATCGATGTTGTGAAGAATGTTAATGCAGTCCATGGAATATTAATACTCCCTTACTCGATATTTCCCCGAACTCGATGAAATTCAAAGTGCCTTCAAAATTGCAACATTTCTCTCTCCCTAACTTGATACCTCCTTTATCCGATGTGTTTTGATTGATTTTGTTCATGGATTTGTACCTCCTATAGACGCATTTTGCGCCAAATCGAATCGAAGCTGGCAACACCCTCTCAGAATTTTCTGGATGTGTAGCCTTTGACTAAATAAGCACTTTTGCATACGCAGTTTTTCCAAAATTTATCTAGACTAACATTTGAGAAGGGCCAAACTTTTTCCACCGATTTTTTTTCAAAAAAATATTATGGAAAAAATGACAACTCCTACAAAAATGTGTTGTATGGATGACTTTCTTTTGAAAAAAATCGGCAAAAAAAGTTTGTCCCTTCTCAAAGGTTAGTCTTGATAAATTTTGCAAAAACTAAGTATATGCAAAGTGGCTTATTTAGTCAAGGTCCACACATCCAGAAAGTTTCACTGAAATCTGAGAGGGTGCTGCCTACTCCGAATACGATTTGGTGCGAAATGCGTCGATACCTCCTGTACCTAGTTGATTTAAAATCTATTTTTATCCGGTTATTTTAGACAAAGCAGTAAAATTGATTGTTGAATTTCAAAATTAAGCTTGGTTGTAAAATTCTAATCTGCTTAAAATAATTTTGGATAAAATCATGAAATCTGAAAACATACTCCACTTGACTAGTTTACGAATTAAATTTAAAACATTGATTCTAATTTCATGTAAAATTTATAACTTAGTAGACCAGTTAATTTTTCGGTTATGTTAAGGATTTTAACAATTTTGATTTTTTGCCTAATTTACTGTAAGTCGACAGCCTTACAGGTAGAGTTGACTGTATTTAGAAGTTAATGTTTACACAATTTTGAAAATGGTTTAATAGATTTTCAATCATTGCTTTTCGAAAACTGGGAAACTACTTTGGAAAATCTAGGGATTATTTGAACTTAAGAAATCAAGAATCCCTAGGAGCGTAAAAATATTCGTCATTAATCTCCAGGGATTCTTGCACCAGCGCTTCACAAACCCTACGGTGGCAGATAGAGTTGAGTTTGAAATAATAACAGGGTGTTACATGACAAAAAAACTTTTTATGTGAACTATTGTAGGTTGTTAGTCTAGTCGGGTACATCATGAAAACACATTTGAAATTGTTCTAACACCCCCAAAATTTAAAATTATTGTTTAAAAACCGATTTTTGATAAGTGACCACATACTATCATGAGTAACTCTATCACTACTATCTATTAGTTATCATTACACTTATATCAGGCTTGCACTTTTTGGGTTAAGGTGAACAGTGCACAGTGGTCCAGAATGCAGATTTAGGTGGAATGATATGTTTTGAGCCTGAAATTGAAACTTTAGACTAAAAGTCTCTTCTACAAAATTCTAACTTTTTTGTTTGAATAAATTAAGGTATACATTCTTGGACAAAGTTATAGCTGAGCTAATTTCAACTTTAGAAAACAACTTTTTTGTATCTCTTAAAATGGCTGATTTAGAGCTATTTTCTTGAATTGAGTTAGGGTGGCTCTAGAAAAAACAGTTGTTTTGCTCTAGTTTTATTATTTCGAATTTCTCAGCAAAGGTGTCTTCAAATAACTTTTAGATCTTAAGAAGGCGCAATTTTTTGCTGCACAAAGCTTGTCAATATTTTTCGCCGATCAAGAGTTATTGACGTTTTTATACTAAAAATATGTACTTTTCAAATGTTAATATCTCTGGTTGGGGCAAACAAAAAAAAAAATAAGTTTTATTTACGGCATTTGAAAGGACGTATGTTATTCTCAATAATGTGAAAAAAATGGAGGTATGTTATTTTTCAAACTCGTATAAAATCAATTTGTATTTATTCATATTTTTTACTATATTTGGGAATATATTTTTCATTAGAAGAGATACAGACACTAAATTTCGCTATAAAACATTCGTCTTAAAGAGTTTTAAAAGTCTCTAGAAGACGACTTTCAAAAGAAATTTCAAATTTGCGCCTTCTTAAGATCTAAAAGTTATTTGAAGACACCTTTGTTGAGAAATTCGAAATAAGAAAACTAGAGCAAAACAACTGTTTTTTTTAGAGCCACCCTAACTCAATTCAAGAAAATAGCTCTAAATCGGCCAATTTAAGAGATACAAGTAATATTACACCATATTTTTGACACGATTGAAGTGCATCCACTTTGATGTGATATCAAAATTATTTTTTTGCTGTGTAGCCGCCGTAAGCGAAGTTCCCTTACCTTCTGCTGTTGGACCGCATCTGGTGTTTGTATAGCAGGCCTTCGTTTGAAAAATTCTTTCAGTATTTGTCTTTCCGCGGTTATTGTAGCTGTATTGGAGTTCTGTATTCCGAAAATACCCATTCTGGAGGGTATTTGACGGTATTTCCCAGTTTTTATATAACCATAAGTCGCCATTTTGGATTTAAAGATAACGTCAGACATCAATTTCGATCTCCATATATCATCCATGTTCCGGAAATATCCACATTGGATGGTATTTCACAGTATTTCTCAGTTTTTTTTTATAACCGGAAGCCACCCCTTTTAATTTCAAGATGGCGTCAGACATCTATTTCCGGTCCCTAGACGTGACCCCTATTCTGAAAATATCCATATTGAAGGGTATTCGACAGTATTTTTCAGTTCTTATATAATAGGAAGCCGCCATCTTGGATTTCAAGATGGCGTCGGCCATCGATTTTCTATATTTAGACAGCACCCTGATTCCGAGAATACCCATATTGAAGGGTATTTGACAGTATTTCCCAGTTTTCTTAAACCAGATGCCGCCATTTTGGATTTCAAGGTTGCCGAAGAAAAAGAGGTTGCCGACAATAGTCACACTCACCTGTGTATTTTTTTTTTTTTTTTTTTTTCTTTATTATAGAGATTTTTAGCCTGAGGCTAGTTCATCTCTTTCCCTGTGTATTTTAGAGCGTTGTAAAAGTGTTTAAAATCGGTTTTGAACGATTCTATCGAATGGAATAGATAGAGCAGCAGGCAGCAGATGAATGTAAACAAAGAGACACTGGATTCAGCATGGGCAATTGGATTCAGCATCCCAAAATTACTCTTAGATGACATTTACAGCATATTTCCGATACTTTTTAAATTTTGCCCAGCTTTTGTTTGGAGTGGATTCATAGTACGATTGTGTGTTATAATGCAACTCTTCTTACATTTACACAACTATTGTTTGATTCTCTCGTCATGACCAACGTACATTGAGGCAAAAGAACGTAACAATTCCATCAGAACCACTAATGAATTTTAGCCACAAGAAATCGGTATGAATTTCATTGATTTGCATTATGAAAAATAACGTTGGCAAAAAATATCTAGACATACTGGAACCGAACTATGGACGATGAGATTACGTCAAAGGAAAATGGAATGGTTGAAGACGTATAAGAGCTATCTGATGTTAGAAGACAATCTTTCATATGTCGCGCTATAATGAAATCACTAAGTCGAGCCTTATGAAATTCTTACGTTTATTTGCCTCAGTGTAGTCATCTCAGAGAGAAGCAGTAGGGTGGTGTTACGTGCTGTACCATCATCAGCATTGTTGACGGTTACTCCCGCCCGGAGTTATTTCATTCAATCAATGTGTTTGTTAATACTACTATTAGGTAAATATAGCTAATGAAGTTCTTGTTTTGAATCGTATCAAATCACTTTCCTGAAATCGTATTGAAAGTTTCAATATTTTCCCCTATCATTTCAGGTAATTAGCCAACCTCGGCTTCCAACCAGAGTATTTGAAAATATAGCAGCTACATAAAGGTAAGTCGCCAAAACGCATTACCCTGGCCTTAGTACAAGCTCATCGATCCTCAGACCCTCACTCACCTGTACGGTTGGTGGTTTCCTGAAGTTGTTCAACTCCGGCAAAAGAAACTTGGTCTTGGACTGTTGCTGTTCTTGTGTCTGTTCTTGCTGCTGCTGTTGTTGTTGCTGCTGCTGCTGTTGGTTCTGATTTGCGCCGCTCTGCTGTCGCTGTTCCTGCTTCTCCGGTGACGAAACCGAACCGATTCCGATCGTAGTCTGCTGCTGGCCTGGATCCACCTGTTTTTTGTCCTCCTCCGGAATCTGCCCCAGTCGTTGCGGAATGGGCTCTACTGATATTCGGAGCGGCGTCGTCGTCGTCGGCGGCGTCGCTAGTACTGTGGTTATGCTTGGTGGTGCAATGATCTGGATCGATGCCTTATCGATCGTCTTGTCGGCTGTCTTTTGGTAGCTGTTCTTGTCCCGCCGTAGGTTCTTCTGGTCGTTTAGGCTGTCACTTTCGGTTCCGATGTTGTTCTTTTTGCCGTTACGGTCAGTTGCGTTGTTTAGATTGTTGAGGTTGTTACTACTGCTACTGCTACTGCTGTTGCTGCTGCTATTGCTACTGCTATTGCCAATTTTCTGCTTCTGTTTTTGGCTTTTGGTCTTCCGGTTGTTTAGGTTCTTGATGAGCTGGTTTATGTTGATTGCCTTCTTGACCGTCTCGGCTGGCCGTTCACGAACGGTGGCTGTTGTGCGAACTGACAGCATCACAAACATAGCCCGTCGGTTTTCTTTTCCAACACTTTGGCATAATATTCTTATACGGGGGGTGGTTAAAATTATAATTACTTTTTCGAATTCGATCTCAACACTTCAACGTCGTCTACGTCCTTATTTTCTATCACTGGGGACCTTCGTTCCTTTTCCCACCCAAGCACCTTCACTTGGTAAGCTTCCTTTGACCTTTGATCTTCGCCTTGCAAGTATTCAACTTTCTTCCTTTCCCAGAATTGTGTAGCACCACGGTAAGAAGCACTTCTTTTATTTACCTTTCAATTTAAGAGTATTCGTTCTCACAATTGCCGTTCCACTCAGCAGCACATGTGAACCAAATCTCATCATCATAACAAACGAAAAACGAAAGAAAAAACGAATCAACTAAACAAACGAAAAGACGAAATTAAGAGAATTCACGGTTTAACGACCAACAGTACGCTTTTCACTTTCTCACGTCACGTTGGGAAGCTTTTGTGATTGCAGCAGTACAACATGTACAGTTTTCATGTCTTCTTCTTATTAGTGATTCTCCTTGCAACCACCCACTCGATTGCTAACTTTGTTCTGTTATGTGACACTTTTTTCCCCTCTAAAATTGCGAGGACCCCTGTGACAACGAGTTGAACTCGGCAATGGGACGCCGTGAAATTTTGTGTAGCACGTGTTCGCTCTTGGTCTGCAGGAGGTAATATCTGTCAACCAGAGCCAGCAGAATCTTCTGTGTGAGTTTGTTCGAGATGTTGTCGCAGCTGTATGATGATGTTGATGTTCTCGATCTGAAATGAAACAGAAGTACGCAAGATGGTTAGAAGAATGGGGTAGGTCGTTATTATTTGCATATTCTGTTGAGAATGGGGGGGGGGGGGACGTGTAATGGAGGGCGGTTAAAATGTACTGCACAGTATGATGTCTTTAGGTACGAGATTGACGTTGGTAGCATTTTGAAGCTCGGTGCATGAGTGTTCATACATTTGGACAATGGAATTTTGCATGAATGTTGAGTATTGGATTGGACTGGATATTTTAAGCCAGTTGAGTAAATTTCAGCACGAGTTCATTCTAAAGGTCACAGAGACTTGAAAACAAGATTGCAAAGAGTTTGGATTTAAAACGCCCTTCGAGCCGGATTAAGGACTATCGAGAGCAGTGTTTGCGATTCGCTATACATTCGGAGTGATTTTCGTGAAGACTTGTGAAGTCAAAGTCACTGAACACCGGTTGTGGAAGGAATATAGAAGGCATTCATGGTAAATTTATGCGAGATAGGTTTTGAGTTGGGGTCATCAGCGACATGAAGGTTCCAGCAAATCAGTGCCACTGGAAATCGTACGGACTTAATCATGGGATTTCTGGTATTAAAATTAAAAAAAAAACACATTATCTACTGTAATGGTCGTACAACCAGTTGAGTCTCGAGTGAATCTTTCAGAAAGAAAACCTCCGAATTTCGATGGATGCATAAAGAAATAGCCTACGTTTCAGGAACTTTTAATAATAATTTACAAAAATGTGACTTCCTGTCCCTTCAGTAGATCGTGAATATCTCAACGAGATTTTAACATAGGACTATGCTTCTTTCGGCAAAGTTGTTCGTCAAAAAGTTAAAGGGGTGGGTCCTAGACACGACCGCAGTTTGACGTAGAACTGTGCAAAATTGATGTAGGGGAAATAGATGTAATGTCGGGCTAAATGCCCCTAATATGGGCCCATACATAAATTCAGCAGTCGACTAAATTTTCAATAGCGACCAAAAGTATCCATTAGTACTGTCACAATGACGCGTTCATCTAGATAAAATTGATAAAAAGCAGATTTTTAGCGATGGGTCTAATCTTAGATCCATAGGCCAACATTAGAGCCATTTCCCCTATGTCATGCATTTTTGATTATTATACTTTATCTTAAATTTTTAAAGTATTTCAATGTTTCGGTTATGGTTCAAAACTCGCGACAATTCATGTTAGCGTAATCAGATCAGGTTGATCAATGTTGAGTTATTTTGCTGTGATCAATGTACATTAAATTTGACATCGACATCGACTACAATACAGGCAGTTGTTTTACCTGTCAGAAGACGGTACTTTAAATATTGATCAAAATGTTGGTTCATATGTCAACGAAATAAGGGAGGAAGGAATATAACGATCATACGGGCTTTAATTACCTCTTTGTTCTTCAATTTGGAGGACAACCCTACACTGAGGCAAATCGACTTAAGAATTTCATAAGGCTCGACTTATGAACGTTACATCCAGTGTTCGGAAAAACTCAAAAACTCAAATCTCATGCATGAGTTTCTGCGCCTATGAGTTTTGCCTTGCAAAATTCAACGTCGCAAAAATCACCGATGAGTTTTCAGGTTAAAAAATTCATTGCTTTATATTTTGGCGTTATTCATTGTTATTACTATTGTTTGTGCATCAGGGGTTTGAAAACTAACACATCATGCATAGGCATGATATCAATTGACGTTTGAGTGGTTTTTATGAGTTTAAAGCTGGAATGATTTTTCGGCGTTGTGAGTGTGAGTGCGTAAATATGCATGAGAATCTCAAGCGTGAATTTTGTTTGCCGCATTCGCACGCGAGTTTATTCTCGCAAGGAGGCTCAATGAATGAGATTTGAGAATGATTTTCCGAACACTATGAGTTTCATAAGCACGACTTATGAAAGATTTTCGTCTAACATAACGTAGCTCCTATTTATACGCCTTTAACCTTTTCATTTACTCAAGCGTTGACAGACGAGTGATCTAGACACAGAACCCGTAATATCAACGTCCATAATTCGGTTCCAGTCTGCTCCGTTTGATTATTTTTTTGTCGACATTATTTTTCATAAGGCAAATCTATGAAATTCATATCAATTTCTTGTGGCTAAAATTCATAAGTGGTTCTTATGGAATTCTTACGTTCTTTTGCCTCGGTGTAACATAAAATTACCATGCATCATCATTATGTACTTTACAGCGTGTCCGTAGAATGATTGCAAAATAGAATACTGTGACTTTTCTCAAATTAAACGGTTGGTTTCCAATAAGTAGGTGCTTAGTACAACATTAATTGAAAATTAGGGGATTCAGCTATTGAAATTCAAAGTCAGAGCAAAAGCTTGTATACAGGTTCTCCACATGTTTAATGTTTTGATATTAAACATCATAGTTAAGGTACACCGGTGCAAGTTGAAACAGTACGTATATCTCTTTGGAAGTGAATATTCACTGTAATTATTTTTGAGAGGCATTCTGTACTACCGCAAACTATATTAGAAATAATCTCAGTGATTATTCACTTCCGATAAGAGCTACATCTACCGTTTCAACTTCCCCGCGCGTTTCTACTTTCCGGTGTAGGGTAATGGATTTTGGTTGGACCTATTCATGTCATTTTCGCACTGCATCTAAATGTATGCCGTGTTTTGAATATTACATATGGACATGAAAAATGTGTGTTTGGTGAAAAAGTAATCACACAAGCATTCCTGAGTAATTGCGCTAATTTTGGGTTCTTTAATTTTAAAAAAGTGTCTCGATTTTTATACATCATCTGAAAGAGCTTCGTTTTTTAGCACAACGATATTTTTTTTCGAAACCGTACACTTTCATCTCGATTTTTAAATCAAAGTTTAAAACAAAATATTAACTCCACTGTTTGACACTAAACTAACAAATTGACAGCTCGCTCCCATACAAAGTCCTACTGAGGGGCGCTAAGATGCTGATATTTGCTAATGTAATCGCACTTATTTAAAATAGTTCCAGTGCTCCAATTTTGATCAAATTTCGGATTTCGGTTCCATGTTCAATGTAGATTACGAATATGCCTTTACCTCAATACCCTTAAAGAAACCAATTGGAAACAGTAGATAGAACTTCTTTCTCTATGATGCGTGGTATATGCATTTGGGTTAACATTCGACGCCCCTCCTGCTCTACATATTCTGCACAAAAAATACTTTCTAAGCCCCGCCCCTGACAGGATTTCCCACCGTTTTTTTTTATGAATGGGGTGGGGAAGAAAGTATCTTTTGTGCAGAATACGTAAAAAAGGATGGACTTCGGATGTATATCTAATTGCATATATAGAGGTACCAGATATGTTTTACAGTCAGTTGGGGGTAAATCACCCACAGAATAACATCAAAATATTGTGAGCGATTTTTTTTTGACGTAGGACTACGTCTTTGATTTCTATATGGGGGTACACTTTGTGAAAACTGAAAATGGAATATGTAACAAATTTAGAAAGATTTTGAACGTTATTAACTCAGCTGCCCCTGGTCCAATTTCAATAATTTTATCACCAATCGATCAGAAATATGGCTACGCATTGATAACAATGCTTCCGAATGTTGATTTTCAACAAGAAACTATTGAAACAGTGGTAAATGTCCAGCATTGTCCAAAAGCGTCGAATTAACTAACAAATCCACCAATTACCTACATGCATATGCTGCTTCCCCAGCACAGTCGTCAGAGAGAAGTAAGTAGACGAAACAAGTCGAAGTGGCATTCGCCTTAGATCCTCGGGCGCGTGCGAATAGGGAGGATGGAATTGCGTAATATTTTGCACACTCATCGCCATATTCAGAACCAAACGAAAATTCTTCAAGATAACCACCATCCGTTGTCTGGCTCGCCGTGGCGGTATCTGACGTATCTCCGGTTTGATTTACGAGGTGTGCTGAAGGTGTTCCTGAAAAATGAGATTCGTGATGCTGTCACCTACACTAAACACGCCAAGCGTAAGCGGCCATGGATGTTATCTGCGTTTTGAAGTGACAGAGACGCACTCTGTTTGGTTTCGGAGGTAAAATCATCACCAACATTAGAAACAAAACGGTTCTTTTCAGGGCCACCAAGCTTATTACAGTAAAGAGTAGGAATAGAATTCATCTGCCTGTTTGTCCATATTCAGAACCACCGACCACACAAAATGCTCATGTAATCAAACTGGAAGCAGGGATACAAATTATTTTGATCAACCTTGATCAACTTTGAATCGCCACGGCCGGATATTTTAGATGGAAGGAGCAAGAATCTAGCATCTAATTCGACGAAGACGGCAGGAAACATTTCTGGATCAACAATAGAATAGGGCCCATCAGCATTTGTAAACAAACCGTTCCAAAGTCTCATAAATCGAAGGCCGCTCACACAAACCAACACCAACATCTTGTAGGTAGAAGTTTCCCCTATCCAATGATGGTGTTGGTTTGTGTGGGTGGCCTTCGCTTTGTGAGTAAAGGGCTTTGGAACGGTTTGTTTACAAATTCTGATGGGCTCTTTTCTATTGTTGATCCAGATTTGTGAAGCCGAGTTATTTACGAGTGTCGATAAAGAGAATCGATCAATGAAGATAGGACCTATTGAAAAGTGACGCGAGATTTGTTTTCCGTACTGAGCTCCAATGCTACCAACGCCAGAGAGGCAGCTCCCAGAGATGTTATGCCTTAGAACATGCCGGTGGTGCCGACTGAGATTGGACGCAGGCCTGCTGGGGTGAGAGGTAATCATGCTAACCACCGATGCGCCGATATCTATCACGGTGAATGAGAACGACCCAAATTTGAGTTTAGTTATCTCAGAAATAAGAAATAAAGTGCAGGAACTCAGCGATGAATAAATTTGCCTCATGTTTTCCCAGGTTTTTCCAGGATTTTCCAGGGAAAAATTCCCGAATTTGAGAAAAGTAAAGGTTGGATTCACTCAGTCTATTGGTACTACTCCGAGACTGAATAAAATTTTCGTCAATTTCCTCATTTTCTGGCAGACCTT